TATTTGCAATGCTTTATCCTGTGTATCTAGCTGCAACCATGCATAAGGTTTGCATTTTTTGGTTATAACAAAGGCACGTTGGAGCATTTAACTAGACACATAGAAAGGTGTCCTTTGTTACAGTTCACTGAACTAACCCATCTCATTTGTGAATCATTAATGATACTGACTGCTGGGTAAATTTACTTTGGTTGTAAATCTATAAATGGCATGGGAAGATGTGGTAGAATGATTTTTCATACGTAGCTTTCAAATGAGAACATTATAGGTTCAAAGAAGGTGAAGGAAAAATATAAATTAACATTTTGGAAGAAGAGATAGGAACCTTACAAGAGCTAACAGTTTTCATTCTGTAAGATTAATTTTATCATTCTGTTTCTTGTAGTTATTGCAGTGAGTATACACAGTCGTGCACAAATTGTCCACTTTAAGACTATCCATTATGGGAGAAAATTTTTTAAACTGCTTTTCAAGGAGTTCTTTCTACAGTGGGTAACAGACACAATCTAAAAATCAGGGAATTCAAAGCATATATGATGTTGCTTGGAGTTACAAAGTGATTCAAGGTAGGAAACAGCAAGTTTGAATGAGAAGCATTTTCTTGAGGATCATAGCAAGACTTTTCCTGAGGAGCATGGTCAAGGAAAATGGTCAGTTTTGTTTTCATATAGAAATCCTCACTCTTATCTGCAAATATAAGGTATCATGTAATTAGGAGCAGTAAATATTAGTAGCTACATATTCAGAATGGAAGAATTATATTTATTTTCCCCCCTCTCATTGAAGGAGATTGCTGTACATAAAGCTTTATTGAAATATTTTCCATTAGGGCAGAGCTGATATAAATTCAGAAATACAGTGGGCTTTGGCACATGGCAGAACTCATAGTTGTAAGTACAAACAAGCAATGAATTAACATCATCTCTCCCACCGCCCCAAATTTTTGTCTTGTAAGAATTTTTGATGTTTCAAAAAGGGATTCTGTTCTGAAATAGGAAAACCCCAAACACCAACACTTTATCAGTTAAAATATTTAGAAAACTTTCATTCAAGAATTATGTTCTCTGGAGGAATATACCTGTCACATAATGACATAATGACTATTTTTCTATAGGATATTAAGAGCTCTCCATTAAAAAGAAAAAAATGAATTTTGGAACACTTGAATTCAGCAACTCTCAGTTCTCCATAGTAGCTTATAGAATTCACTAAAAATATTTGCTAAACCAAGGAGCATGTTTCCTACATTAAATTAAGATGCAGGGTAAATAAGATTGCACTGGGCATAGCTTATTTTTAGCAAAACTCTACAGGATCACATATATAAGTGTCAGTGACTGTGGGCTTAGTAGTTTTTTTATCTGCTCATGGTTGACACAGAGCCAACCATGCCAATAATTTCAAAGTAAGATCATCTTGGAAAATTATTTTCAAAGGTCTTTTAACAATCCTGTAACGGGATTTTTCTGCACTTAATTATTTTATTAGTTTGTCTTTTGTCCTTTGATTTCTAGTCCAATATGTGGATATGATACAAGGTAATTTCTTATCTCCTAAGCCTGTTGTTTTCTCAGGATGTGTTTTGGACATAAGTGTGCATCAACTTCTGTCTCTGTCTTTTGTCTTTATTTTGTCTAATGCAGAGTTTAAAAAAATGCTCTTTTCCTTACATTAAGTGCTCTGAAATAGTTTAATTGGTTGAGTATGTTAGAAACAATAGCCAGAAAAAAGCAAAATACCTTGCTATGTTGTACTGTCAAATCACATAACCAAAGAAACCCGTAAAAATTAAAAATTATCACAGCACAAAAATGTAATTAAATTTTCTTCTTTTATTTGTGTCTCTACCCAGGCTGTAAACACACACTGAGGCATTCATTCATCCCTACAAATCTCTAGCCTCATCATAACAAGAATTAAATCCAGACTTAAAACGCTGAGCCGAGTGGGTTTTCTTGAGAAATCTCCAAGAGTTTATTTCCTATTTCTGTTTCTAATTATATGAATCAATACAAATACTAGTAGTTTTATGGTGAAGGACAATGGCTGGAGCAGTTCTCTTTATAGGCATATCACAATATTATGTTCTACAGGTAATGTAATGGAGTTACAATTTTCCAGTTTTATTTTGTACCATGCACATACATTTTTATCTTTTACATAAAACAGAATGTTATAAAACAGGACAAAAATAACTTATGATTGTATGAAAAAAACTGTAAAAAATCAAAAAATCACACATACTAGTAGAATAACTAATTATTTTGAATTTTTGTTTTTTTCATGACATGAAACAGACATTTCTTTAGAGCAAGATATATCAGCCAGATATACAGTATGGCAAATTAAGATCATATGAATATATGTAAGCATATATAAATATGTAGATTACTCTGTAAGATTTAGGAAAAACATAATCCCACTTTCTCTCCTCACCAAAGTGCTTTGTGTAAAAAATGTTACACAAGATACTGCTTTCTGTACAGATGCTGCTTTCTGTACAGCACAAAAGAATTTCTTTTTCTTAAATAAAAACTCACTCAGCTAATTTTAATTTGTGGTCTTTTTCTTTTGCTTTACCTGCTTCAAGGAAATATATATACACATACAAAAAGCCCCAAACCAAGAACAAAATTCCATACAAACAAGAAAAAAAGTGCCATTTAAAAAAAATCTGCTTGAAAATTACACAGGGAAAACAGGGAATAAACCGTTAAAATGTAATTTTTATAGTCATTCACACCTTTTCAACAAAAGCTGAAAACAATATACAGTGTGACAGATGGCCTGAGCACTGCAGTTCTTCAGCATCTGGTAGTAGTAATCCACAAAGCCTGTATGTTTGTGTGTATACACACATAGAAAGGGAGACCCAAATTCACACGTGCACTCATGCACTTCCACTTATACACATGCACTTTGCATTTTAAACTCCAGTGTAGAACCATTAGAAATGCAGATATAAAAGGACCACTGAGTGGGGACACAGTTGAATTGTATAAAAGAAAATTGTAAATAATTTCTTTTGAATATTGTTTAATGTCCATAGTCTAAAATAACTTCACCTCTTAGATATGAATCCCTTTAGAAAGTTAACAATACAGCAAGTAGAGTAACTACACAAAACTTACTGAGGCACAAGTATTTGCAAATAACTCAGTTATGCAGATAACCCACAAAATTGTATTTCCTCAAGCACCATTTTTGATTGTGAGAAACAGGATTCCCTATTTATATATCCAATATACATGAGATACAATGGAGCTTTTTATGCAACTGCCCTCAGTGATTAAATTGATGCCTAGAAGTCAGTCCAACTCCAAAGAGAGTAATAAATAATAGTGAAGAATCCTCCTTGTCTCTGAATGAGAAGTAAACAAAGGCATACCTTTTTACAGACTGCTAGCCCATATTCCTGTGTTTTGGCTGTCTCTAGGGCCTTCTTTTAAGGATTAAGGCTCATGGAAAGCTGTAAATATATATATATATTATATGTATGTGAAAGAATGAATTAATGACTTGCAAGCGTTTCCTTTTTTAAATGTAACTGATGAACCCCCAAGTTAAAAATGCCCTTTTTGAATTCTGTACTCTCACTTTCCCTTTGGTCTGCGTGTTTCAAATGTATAATCCCCCAACTCTACGGAACAACTTGAACATTCAGATACTAGAAAAAATTATTTCAAAAGGTTTTGAAGTCAAAGCAATACAGATCTGAAGACAGCAACAGTATTTCAGTTTTGTAAACAGCAGTGGACAAATTCTGGACAATCATGTGGTTAAAAGAATTTTGAAGGATTTATATATATGAAAGTATATAGGTACATGTCTGTATACATATGTATGTCCACAAGTAGTCTGATCCTGCCCTTGCTGACTTTGGTGGAACAAAACACAATTCCACACATTTGAAATTGAAGTGTTCAGTGTGACTGATTATTCCTATGAACCAAGTTACACTTGTGTAGTTACCACAGAAAGGGCTTTAAGATATAAAATTAAAGCTTTATTAAAAAGAGGAACTTGCAATCAATGCAAAAGGACTATCTTTTTGATTGCACATGTAGAGCTGTGAAGGATGCCTGGTGTCATTTAACCCAATGCAAATCACGTATGGTAACATCTAGACCTCTTAGTGCAAGCTGCAGCAGAGGGACACATTCTCTTGTGATGTGAGAAGCAGAATATATGGGCGAAGAACTTGGCACAGAATGAGCTGTATTTTAGTCACTTTACTTCTTCTTGTGCTTCATTTAGGTGTATGTGGTTTATTCATATATTCTATGTACTGGATGAAAATCTCTCCATTAAATATTTGAGCACATAATAATGTACTTCATGAATACAAACCTCAAAAGATTGCCAGTGTTCACAAACATCTGGACATAAATTTATCAACATAACTGCAGATTAAATTTGAGCCAAATTGGACTTAACAATTCTCAAAAGCTTGCCAGGAAAACAAAAGAGTTTGTATAAACCTTTTTTTTTGAAGTTTATCTTTTTAGAAGAGTGATTTCAAAAGCATAGTTATGGTCCAGCCTGCAAGAATGAACTTTTCTGTCCTTAGTTTATCAGGTCATGAGAATATTAAGATGTACACTACACAGTAAGAAGTCCAAAAAATGGATGAACAGGAATTAAACCAAAAAACTCAGTTTTACTAATGTAAGAGTAGTTCTCAAAGTATACAGGACCACAGTGATGACATCTCCACTGCAAAATACTTGTTTTAACTCAAAACCTTGTATGTTTTATGTTTTTTGCTTGCATCTTGGACTTAATTTGAGGACCTTGAGCCTGACATTGATCAGAAAAATCAAAACCACCAAACCAGTCCGGTTTTATCTCTCTAAGTAACCAGAGGAAACAGAGTACACTTAAAGAGTATACTTAAAGAGTAGTTCTTCTTTCTGAAAATTTAATTGAATTTAATTGAATCAGTACAGATAGCTTTTTAAAAAAAATGTGGAATTTAAGGAAGAATCTTTCCTACAAAATATTTTAAACCATCCTGCAGGAGACTATAGTACATACAGCAACAATGCTCTACAATCTAATTAAAAAGCAACTGAAAGTTAAAATATATTTATGCTAATCTGGCAGATGTGTTAAATAGAGACAAAGTCCACATAACTTCTTGTGTATTTAAACCTTCTTATTCATGCTTAAAGGGTCAGAATGACTATTGGGAAAACAGTAATAGCTATATTGTATGGCATAAAATAAAGAGGGAAGGAAAGGACACCTAACCTGAGGACTGTAAGAAATCCTCTACCAACAACGTTTGATCCAAAAAGAAGCCACACCAATGCCTCCAATAGGTAGTGCCAACGTATGTCAAATTTCTCTCCCTTCTAGATACTGGTGTGTGTTAAACTTTGGAAGTATCATATGCAGACAGGTTGTGCAAAAACTGTCTGCCTTTGAACTGTTTGTGGTATGCTCTGGTTTTGCTTCTTTTCCTTTTTTGGAAAAGGAATTTTCTAAAGCTGTCTTCTTTTGTAAGTGCACCCATTCAGCTTGAAAAGATTATACCCAACAACCAGTTTTCTTATTTGGTCTCTGAATTCCCTTTGAGAAATTAAAATAAGAAATAATTTTAAAAGTATAGTTGCTGTACCACAGATGAGAAGAAAAGAAACAATTACTAAGGTTTTGGCAAAGCTTGCTTTCTCCAATTATTCTCAGTTGGCTGCTTGCAGTTCCTCTCCATTATGTATGTATATTTAGTCATATCCCCATACATACGTGGCAGTTTCATGGAGAGAAAAAAATTGTAGGGAAATAAAAGAAGGGCAAGATGAAACAGAATCAAGTTCTTGTAGCTAGATATACATTACTTTATCCTTCAGTGTATACAGAAGAAAGCTGGCTGGAACAATGATCCACTGCATTTACTTGTAGGAAACTGCTGTCATCTGGCATGCTGCAGGCTGAATCACCAAAGATACCTACAGACCCTGCTGGAAAGTCATACACTGGGAGAAGAAACAAAACAAAAAAACCACAGTTAATAAGCAGTTTAACTATATAATGAAGTATGTCCCAATACTTTTGCATAGAACTGGAAATGGTTTTAAATCAAATACACAAATAAAATAAATAAGCCAATATATGTATGAAATTAATTACATAACTTACTGCTTACCAAGGGAGGAAATTTTCAGTTCTGTCAGAATCAGTTCTGAAGTAGAGCAGATCTCATTGCAACTAACTCCTCCCCATTTAATGGGTGTTAAAACTGTGATCATTAAGAAAATAAACTACGTTCTTGTTTAACAAATTTCATCATATTGAACACAGGATAAAAGACAATAAAATTTAAAAGTAAAGTAGACCCTGGCACAGAAATTACTACCTTTTACAAGTGGCAGTAGTAAGCCCAAGAGTAACTGTCTGCAGACACACTCCCATCTTTTGGATAACATGTTTACATACTGTGAGATGCCTCTTTGTAATTACAGGTGCAATGGCTTTGCAATACACTTCGAAGGACCAAGACATAAAAGGCACTTCAAAGCACAATAAATGTTAAATGGGTTCATCCTGTGTGGAAGGACAGTAGAAGACCTGGGCATTAGTTGAGTGCTAAGATTAGGCTCAGTGTCTTGTACTGATTCTTTGCACAGAGATCTTTCATCCTTCCAGAGCCGCATGCAAGCCCCTTAAGTACTTTTCATCTAGGCACAGACTAAGTTAAGTGCACGCAGGTGCATCCAGGCAGTTTTTGTCATGGAAACGTGAATAAATTAAATTCAAGACCGATAAAAACCAAACATGCACCAAGCAAAATCAGCAGTTTGAATCATCTCAGGTCCCTGCCACAATAGGTGCAGTGGAGTGGATGGCTGCACAAATACCACAGAGGGCCCAGTGGACTGTATTTCTCATCAAATACAGAAGCCAGAGACTGTCTAAGCCCCACAGGCTAGAACCCTGAGGAACCTTCAGCAGTGTGCAGACTGCACACAGGCCAGTTGTTACTGACACCTGCAGCCTCAACACAACCACTCCATGAAGGTCTGGAAACCATCTCCTCTTTGTAAAGAGTCAAATCCCTCGTGACACGTCCCACCAAACACACATGCGCATCTGCCAAAGTTCACAAACTGTACACAATCACACATGGAGTCACCAGCTGTTATTTACCTTTGATACCAGAATGATCTGAAAAACTTCGATGGAAAATGCCAAGCCCTGCCTGGCCTGCTGATGTGAGAGCTGAGCAGTCAACTGGAGGAGCCATATCACAAGAAACAGTGTCTTGTATGTTCTTCTGAGTGTCAGCATAATGTGGAGGGCAGAAAGTCTGAAGCTGCCCACAGAAACCTAGAATGAGAAGAAGACCATCAGTATAAGACCTGGACAGAGACATAAAGGATAGTTCGTGGAACCATGTCCATGAGAATGATAAAAACTGCAACTGCCCTACCACCTGGTGTTCAGTAATTTTAAACAAATAAAGCAGTATTGATATTATGCTCCCTAAAACTTCCTCAAGTTGCTACTAATTTCAAACACAATCTACTACATGGACATTCTGATTCTAGCATGACCTGTGAGAGGCACTGACTGGCTAGAAGCTGAAATTTTTCAGGAAATTTCTCCCTATACTGCACAACCCTGTGTCTGAACTGGTACTCTCCAGAGTACTTGCGTCTGCCTGAAAATCTAAGAAACTAAATTCAGAATAAAAGATTGCCCAAGTAAAGTTTAAATAAAATGCAAGGATCTATCACTGATGCCAAGAGAGCTGGCTGATAGTAGGGTTATGCATAGGCACTCTGAGCAAAATTTTTTTATGATGGAAAGAGAGCACAGAAAAGTAATATAACTTTCCTAGATACAAGTTCTTTTCACAATTCAGTGTCAATTATCCATCTTTTAAAACAGAGAGTCAAAACAAGAAGTAAGCATATGTAGTTCTCTTTCCCCTCAGTTATTTAGCACTATTCTAAATGTCTTTGTGTGCATCTGCAGTGCATCAAGCCACAGTGTAGAGGTCTTAGAACGGGAGCCCAACATGACACAGCAAAATCTCCAACTTGGTGTCTTTATTCACACAGTGCCATGCCCAAGATAATCTACAATGTAGCTGAATGTAGGATAACGTGAAAGTATACTGAGGCAGTAGACCCTGACCATAACTTGAGATATGTGTTAGGGAACTAATTGTACCATCAGTTTTCTGTGTTTCTATGCAGCACTGGAAAAACTACAAGAAAGGCAAACGGGCTGGCTAATAAAGCTCCAGCAACTGAACATTTCAGCTCCAACTCTCAATTGTAAAAGTTTGTCTGTTATTAAACTATATAAAACACACAAATGCACGGGGTTACATCAGCTGTGTTTGTTGTACACTACAGCCAAGATTCATTATGTCAAGGTACATAATAAATAACTACTCTTCTGACATGACAGCATTGCTTCCCTAGGAAAGTGAAATATTTTTGAATATGAGAGAAGAACTGTAAGCTGTTAGAATTGCTTCTAAAAGCAAGAAGTTCTTGTTTTTTATCACATAAAAAGCCTTGTCCTGAAAGATGCTGAATGTCTAAAAGGCCCTGGTAGACAGCTCAGCTCAAATTCACACGTACAGTTGTCCACGTACATTTGTAATAGAGTACTTATCCTATTGAACTGTTGTGGACAGAGATTTCATTATAGATATGCAATGAATGACTGCCACAATTATAATTTCCATATGGTAGGAAGTTTCTGATGGACATCAGTTTCCCCCTCAGTCATCTCTCTGCCTGTCACAAGAAAGAGAATATTTTCTCAAGAAAAGCATTTTAGTTGCCATTCAGAAATACATGCCATGCGTGAGTGGTCTTTGCTGCTATGGCATGTAAAAATTCCAGCTGTCTTTGGCCTGAAATACTTCAAGGTAGTATTTCTTTGTGGCGAATTTCTGCATGTCCACTAGGCAAATTACACAAACACCACGTAATCATGTGGTACCATCTGGCTGTGAAGAACAAAAGGAAGAGTAAGAGGGAGATACAAGTAACATACTGTACTAATATGCAAATCACCAATAGTGGATTTGCAAATGTTAAAAAAAGATAAATGTTTCTGTTTATTAAAATCTCATTATTTATAATTTAAAGATGGCTGTTACTAGAGGCACTAATATAACTAACTCATATCAGCTTTTTTTTTTAAATAAATGCCAACTTTTAATTTTCTTTAAATGAATACTTTGCATATTTTTTTTTATTTCTTCCATAACTCAGACAGCTCTGGTCATCAGCTTAAGTCACAAACACATGTGAGCAGAGTTACATACACAATTTTAAAGGACAACCAGATTTCTGATGCAAAAATGTTCCCAGTGTCAGATGCATCCAAAAACAAGTCAGCTTTGCCCATGCCCCAAGAAGTTTTACCTTAGTCTATACTACACAGCACAAAAATTTTCTCCCTGTGAAAAGGGAACTTCTGTTACTGTTCTTTCATATCTAGCACATCTCTTCTGGCTTGTCTCAGAGCAAGCAATACTTTATTCTTGAAGTTGCCTGGGTACTGTAGGTGCCTGTGTCTTCAGACACCTCTCCTGAGAGTACTTTTTCATGGTTGAAAAGAATCACCAGTACAGTGCAGGCACCTGCACTGTCTTCTGTCTACAAACACATATTACATTAGCATGCAACAGCATCTAGCTGGGAAGTTGTCATTCCAGTCTCCAGGTCAGGATAGTTTCAGATTTATGGAATTGTAATATAGTAAAAGATACTACAATCTAATGAAAGGAAAAGAAGAACTTCACTTCTACAGCTCAGTGAGGCATCTAACATCATCACTTACAAACATTCCATGCAGAAAAGGATAGTGTGAATTTCACAAGAGCAAGAGAATATTTAATCAATTATGTAATATAAACGGAGCCAATAGAAAGCCCTCTCTGACATTACTGTGTATGTTGAAAATCACTCAGAACAAATAATGAAACTTGAACTGTAGACAGTGTTCTTCCAAGAACATTGCCATTTCACAAAACAAGTAGCTATTAGATATAAGAAGGCTGTCAGTTTTAGATCTCATACATATTTCTCTCTAAAGGATAGTACTCTGAGACCACCATGATGAAACTGCATCTGTTTAGAACTTGTTTTCTTCAAAAAGCTGTTGGGTAATGAAACTCTTTCTTCCTTGATAAAGCAAATTTAAATGGAACTGACAAGTTTAAGACTACATACTGAGGCAAATTGTCACTATTGTCTGGTAGCAGATTGAGCTGAAGTGGCTACAGTTACAGCACTTTAAATCTTGAAAAGGCAGGTTATGAACTGCAGGAGATAGAAATTAACAGAACTTCCCACAGCCACTTCTTGTATACATAATGGTATGGTGTGGAGATAACTATATGGTGTTTTTTGCATTGTAATGAATTGACCAAGGAAGACAGCAATCTTTGTGTTGGTACTGGGAAAAGATGAACTCTTGAAGCATCTGCTTTTGAGAGAGAGAGTTTAGGTAAGCCTGTAAGGCACACAGGACAACGCTTTCAGTGCACCATACAGGATGAGACAGCTGTGTTTAAGCTGGAGGGAGTACATTCTGACAAAATACCTTGTACAGTGACAATAGGTTACGTGATCTTTGAAAAAACATTTAATACCCACATTGTAGGTTAAAGTTCAGTCAATATTGTCTTCATACCCGTTTTAAGTGCAAAGATCTTTAGAATTTGAACTTTGAGTTGTTAGCTTTGTGCATATAATTTCTGTCAGCAGTGTCTATTTTCAACACAGGCTTTCCTAGGAGAGTGAGGCAGACACAGTAATGCTAACATGGGACTAAGTATGGTACAGGTTTAAGGTCCAAGCCCTTGAAAATCAACCATTTTTTGATCTCAGAAGATAGTATTAAACTGTATTTTAACACATGTATTTTGGACATGTAACAGGGCTTCAATTCAAATGTGATATTCACCCAGATGAGAGTATCTACTGGGCCTTCTTCTTGTAAAGAATGATTACCCGCATCCTTTGTCCTTTTAAATCCTCTTTGGACTGTTGGAGAGGGAGATGGGAACACAGTAACATTGTTCTGGCCTGAAGAGAAGATGCCCAAGTGTGGATACGGAAGACTGGGAAAACAGAGTTTTGCCAGGCGTTTGAAGGAAAACAGAAAGGAAAGAATGAATAACAAAAGTTGCACCTGCTGTTGTTGACAGGATGCACGCGTGTGAGATGTGATGTTTTGGTAAAAGCATGTTTGTAAGAGGTGTTGCCTTCCTTGGACCAATAAGCTGAATCTATTCTTGGTTCAGCGAAGTGGTCTATAAAATGTGTGTACTTCTACAATAAAGCTGTTTCTTTCTACCTTTGAGAAGAAGCTGTGTCGTCGTGATTTCTGCACCACTCCCTATAGCAGACAGCAACACCCAAGGAGATACGAAGGCTGCTGCACAAGCCAGTGCAAGTCCTGTGTGGAGCAACAATTAATCCAGGGTGATTTGTGAACCCCTGGGAGGCAGGATTCTTTGGAAAGTCTACTTTGGAGCAACTGGTTGTGCTCCCAGTTTCTAGGATTCCTAAAACTCCCATGGCTATGAAAGGAAGAATGTGGTAAAGTCATCTGTACAACTGAAAGACAGTTTTTATTCCAGGCAGGAAGACAGACCCTAATGTCTGGATGCATTTCCAGAAGATGAATTCTTGCCAAATGTTCAGCAAGAAAGGGAATCAAATAAAATGTTTTGTACTGTGGAAACAGAAGGGCTAACCTGATCCCTTCAAGTCTTGCACAAGGAATTTACTGGATCTGTTCTGGCATGTTTTCACATATGTCATATGACAATGAACTGTATATTAAGAAATTTCACCCTGTACTCTGTTGGCCATACATTATTAGTGAAACTTCTATCAGAGAATACAGAAAGCCAACAATAATTGCTTATGTCCATTGGTAAATTTCATGTTCTTCCGGTACTATCAGTGATGTAAGAAATTACTACTTTGTGGAGAAAACCACCTGTCTCAGATCCTGCTTCTCTGTGGCCAGTACAATACAAAGAATGTAACAGGATTGGCACTTTCCTTTCTCTGCCTCACATTTATGAACTCAGGGAGATGCCTGTTTCTTCTCTCTGCCTAGAAAGATGCTTACATCAGTGGAAGAAAATGAATGAAGCCTTGTGTCATGATTTGGCACTGGCCCAACACCAGACACCCACAAGAGTCGCTCACTCACCCTCCCCTGCTACAGCTGGGCAGCAGAGGGAAAAAGGGAAAAAAATTAATGAGGGGTTCATGAATAAGGACCGGGAGAAAATACTTCAAGGGCAAAAGAGGCTCAACTTAAGGTTGCAAAGTGAAATTTATTACTAACAGAATCAGAGGAGAATGAGAAGTTAATGAGATGTTAAATAAGCTCTTAAAACACCTTTTCCCTCCAGCACCTCCCTGCATCTCACTGACAGCACAAGGAGACAGGGCATGGGAGTTTTGGTCAGTTGTCACTGAGAATATTTTCCACTGCTCAGAGAGAGGAGTCCTTCCCCTGTGAGACCATGGGGTCCCTCCCATGGGACACAGTTCTCTGTGAACTTCCCCAGCGTGGGTCCAATCTCACAAGCAGCAGCCAAACCACACCTGCTGCAATGTGAGTCCCTCCCACAGGCAGACAGGTCTCCCAAAACTGCTGTGGCGTGGGTCACTCTTCCATGGGGTGCAGTCTTCCAAGGACAGGCTGCTCCAGCCTGGGATCAGGGCCCTCTCTCTCCACTGGATCCCACTGGATCACAGCCTCCTGCAGGTATCCACCTTCTCTGGTGTGGGCACCTCCCACACGGGCTGTGAGTGGATCTCTGCATCCTCCATGGATCCCCATGGGCTGTGAGTGAATCTCTGCATCCTCCATGGATCCCCACGGGCTGTGGGTGGATCTCTGCATCCCCTGTGGATCCTCATGGGCTGTGGGTGGATCTCTGCATTCCCCGTGGATCTCTGCATCCTCCATGTGTGGGACACATATTGAGAAAGTAAGAAAATTACAGCCTGAAAAATATTCCAGGCTGCAGCTTCTCAGCTCTGTTCCCAGCTGATAAGCTGGTCCAGCTCAAGGCTAGGGAGAATTTCTCCCAGGGTGATAATTTGGTCAAAATAAAAAGGAATTAATAACAAGATAGAACACCTGTTGTGGTGTGTGACCAGGCCCTGGGAATGGGGTGTCTTCTCTCTGAACCAATCACCTTTTCTCTACTCTTGGAGTTGCGAGTCACGCTATAAAACCAAGTGTGTTTCTGAATAAGCTTGTCTCTTTCTTCCTATCATGAAAGAGGACCATGTAGCTATGCATTTTATTTCCTCTGCACTTAAAGGGTTAAAACCCCTTCCCACGGCTACATCCATGGATCCCTACGGGCTGTGGGTGGATCTCTGTATCCCCATGGATCCCCATGGGCTGGAGGGGCACAGCTGCCTCGCCATGGTCTCACCGTGGCTGCAGAGAATCTCAGCTCCATCTCCTGGAGCAGCTCCTCCCCTCCTTCTGCACTGACCTTGGTGTCTCCATGGTGTTTCCCTCACACATTCTCACCTCCTCCTCTTCTCTGGCTAGAAGCAAAATTATGTTACTTTGTTTAGATTTTCTCCCTAAATATATCATCACAGAGGCATTACCATCATCTGTAATTGGCCCAGGCTTGCCCAGCAGCATGTCCATCCTCAGAGCCATCAGGGATTTGCTCTGCTGGACATGGTGGAAGCTTCCAGCAGCTTCTCACAGAAGCTGCCTCTGTGACTCCCTGCTACCAAAAACCAAGCTGTGCAAAACCAATACACTACTCTTCTCAGGATGTTTCCTGTGATATCTACAATGGTAACTCTCAGGAAGCTTGATAATAAAGCCGAATCCCAAGACCTTTAAAAGTTCAGTCTGCTATGTACCTTATGTCTACAAATATGGCAAACCATATATTTAAACAGTTGAGAGGAAACGGCAATACTGCTGTCAACACACTCCTGAAATGTTAAGGTCATTAGCAGTCAGACTCCACCAGCTCGGAGAAACAAACAAACAAAACAACCCACAAGTTGATTATTTTTTTCTTGGCTACAGAAGAAACATACAGGATTGAAGAGAGAGAGGTCTTGTAGTAGCTGATTACACAGCACAAGTGGGAACACAGCTGCAGGAGTCTTCCAAGCTTACAGAATAAGAGTTCTCCATCTCCCCACAAGTACAAAGGAGAAAAATATCCTACCTCTTGAAAACCTGGTTAACACTTACATGCTAGATCAGGAGGTATTAGAAGTGTAACATTAGAAAATTAAAAGCCATTACAGATTTTTTTGCCATTCTGTTTCAGGAATAGCACTGAAAATCAGTCTGAAGAGAAACATAACTTGATACCAGGATGAATAACAACTAGCTAAAATAAGAATTTTAAAGTCTGAAGGCAGGGTTCTGAAGGCTACCTCCCAGGGTCTTTCAAGGAAAAGTGCCTGAAAAATATCAATGCCAGTCCCTGAAGCACTTAATTTGAAGATAAGCAATAGCAACAAACAATTAACATCAGTGATGAAGATTCTTCCTTCTTACCCTGAATGTGAAGGGCATTTGGCTGAAAAGAAGGGCTTTCTGCTGGTTGGTATGTCTTCAGAGGCATCCCTGCAAGTTGTGGAAGCTGAGGAGGTTGTGGAGTCTGTCTCTGCATCATGGGTTGTTGAACTGACATTGTCTGGGGGCTGATGTGATGAGGAGAAGGAGCTGGAGCAACAAATCTAAAAGTTCAAAACAAAAAGCTGTAAAATCTCCAATACATAAGAGCTAAAGATTGTTTTTACTTTATTTACATCACTTCAGTTATTTGCATGGATACAGACTTCTAAAATAACAGTAAGCAGCCCAAATAGAGATGACATATTTTTAAATGGTGACCTATCATTAGACTTGACACCTGGGAAATTAACAGGCTGAATTGCCCCTTATCATGGAAAACTACTTTTAACCCACTCCTTCTGTGTGTGTGTCTAGGTCATAACTGGAGGAGATGCCTCAAGGGGGACCTCATACTGGAGGCACTGCCAGCTATTTACTGTAAGGCTTTGTATCAACTTTATTTATCAGTTATCAATATTTATTAATATTTATTATTTATCAATAGCTGCTTTTGCTCACTAACAGTGAGACATCAGTTCAGGTCATTGGTCACTGAGGTGTTCCGTATCAGGTTCAGGCCTAGATTTCAGGCTCTAGAAATATTCGTGTGTTACACAGAACTATTTGAAAATAAACAATCTGATGGCAATACAATGCAGGTAAGGTAAAGTGTTAAATTGCTTCCAGAATCTGACCACATCAGAATGTTAATGTGAACTCAAACTATAAATTTACAAGCCTGGAAGAGGAGAGAATGCTTGAGAAGAAATCTAGTAGAACAAATCTGAGAGATCTAGAGAACAAATCTGGTAGCACAACTGTCACAGAGGTTCATCACCTCAGTGGCATGTTTTTGCACAGCTCTGTCACTACTGGCACTACAAGGATACACACTACTTTTGAAGATTTTACACAAGAGTTTTATTGAATTTAATTTTTTACTTATTCTTTTCTGCATTTCCTTAAAACTGAATGCCTCAATATACAGTTAGGTCATACGATCTTTTTTGCAAACAGAAAGCCAGGATTTTAAGAGCTTCAAAATTTCTGTCTGTGCCCTAAACCACCCAGTAGACTGATAGGATCCAGCTAGTTGTTAATGAAAGCTCAGGAATGGCTCTGGGCCACTTTTTCATCAATGAGAGGAGAGCTGGAAATTTCCCAAGCACCAAAAACGAATCATGATATTTCTGCAAGAGGGTGAGTGGAAAGTGACGTGGTAATCCTGTTGCAGATCAGCCTGTCTCTCCACCACTAAAAATAAGATGCAAGTCTGCTAAGGAGGAATACTCTTCTCTGTGTGCTCAGTGGCTGCTGCTAGGAAGGATCAGTGTCTGCAGTTAACACAGTCTGCCAGTGTTCTAAAGTATGGCTCTGGTTCCTGTTGTCCTGAGAATGTACCTCAATTTACGACATAACTTTTTTTTTTTAACCTAATAAAAAAGCATATAATTTTCCTAAAGAGGTGTAAGGAAGTTTTTATCACATCCTGAATACAACAGAAGATACAACTCCAGTAGCAGCTCTACAGAACACCTCTGGGCAGGGTCATCATACAGGTTAGAACTGTATTTAAATCCAAGTCACTTGAGATTTTTTATGCTGCAGATAAGAATCTGTATCTACCACATGTTATACATGTGATTTTGACTTCATTTGAAAGGTATTTACTACATTTTTGGTGAACCATAATCTACATTTGGAGTGTAACAAGTATCAAGATGAACTTTGGATGATGTACTGCCTATTCAGTTTTCTGTGAGAAGCACATTTTAAAGCATATTAGGAAGAGTTTGGATGGTCCTGGTGCTGATGTGATATTAACTTAATAAACATATGTTACTTCAGAAACGCTATATGGATGGAGGAAATAAAGATGTTACTACTGAGCCACTGAGTCTTTCATGTGTCAAATATTTCATTGTTCCAGGTAACTGATGCAGAGTAGACTGAAAGACCAGGATCATGGGGGCAGGAGTGGGGAGGAAGGAATGAACCAAGTAGGTGAGCTCCAGTGATCATGAGGCATAAGCTCCATCTCAGACTGAGGTACAAAAAGCTCAACAACTTCCAGTGGCTCCAGAACTGGCTGAATTCACATGTGAAGTCTGAAAAAAAAGTGTGTTTTCACCTTTTGATTTCGCAAGATATCATATTCTTCTATCTTCCTGATACAAGCCAGAGTGAATACTGCTTTCATCCAAAGAAATTATGCTCATTTACCAGTAATTGAAATCTAGTGCATGTTGTTTTCATGTTTATAACTGGGGATTTTGTACTCTTCAAATTACTGTCATATCTGTCACTCAAGGAAATTAAATACTTTGAAATACATTAGTGAAATACAGCAATTTATTACTTAGAGCACTGAAAAAGAAATTTAAAAAATAATCTTTAAGTATCCATGAGCAGATAGTAAGAGTTTAGTATTTTGTGTGTGGATGCTATCTTCATGACTTTTCCACTAAAAACCATTTACTTAGGCCTCTTCCAACTTGTGATTTGGTAGACTTCTGGCTTAGTGAGCTACAGATTTCCACATCTGCAGTACCTAAATCATTGGAAAGATTGCTGAAAATAATTTAGGGAATGTCTAACAATGAAAATCAAAACACATCCAAGCAATTGGTTTTTATGCCACTGAAATATCTAAAATCATAGAATTTAAAATACCTAACCAGCATATAATAAAACATACCGAACTGTCATAAAATAAATCCAGACTATAAATCAAACTCTGAAACTAGTGAAATAAATATTTGCTCATTATCTATTGTTCTTCATAAAATGGCAATTGAAATAAACAAGGCAAGGTCTTCCTTCAGAAATGCTTATTATTGGGAGAATATTGACAGAATATGACTCTTCTCCTACAAGTAAACAGAAATATGAATCTCAGGGCCCCCATTCTGTAAAGTATGGCTGCATCAGTGTGCCAGCTGGTATCCCTTTCCTTGCTTGGGCCCTTTGTTGGGATCACGAAGGGACAGGAGGAAGTCCCTGAAATGGAGATGGAGGGAAGTCTCTCTCCCAGGCTGGAATAACACTGTCCATTTCACCTCTCCTTCTCCTGATAAACCCCTACCCAGAGCAGCTGTTAGGCCAGAGCTGCCACCGGTGCCTTTCTGCACAACAACGATTGCATTTCCCCCATCCTGGCAGCTCTGAAGACAGTGCAGGCTCAGGAAAACACAGGGTCTTACCTCTCTGAGTCTGCAGCTGTGAGAAGAGGTATCTGGGGAGGATGCAGAGGACTGCCCTGTATATTGTGTCCTGGGGAAGAGTGGCTGCTGGCGTGGGACAAGGACACTGCCCCAGCTGCTGCTCCACTTTGATTTATCTGTGTGCTGGGGATCACAGCTGCTGAAAGTAAGAGAGGAATAAAACTCATCAGGCAGGAAACAACACTGATAACTGACCAAACAACAATATTGATAAATACAAACACCAACATGCAACTCCTTCTGTCAAGCTGAAGGGCCAACTCCTAGCAACTAAGAAAACTAGGGGTTTTCTGAAGAGTTGTTCTGAAGTGCTGCTTTCCATACAAAGGGAAGAATAAAACCACATGAAAATAAGTAAGTATTCTTTACTGCTTCCAAATGACATTTCTATTAAATGAGGCACGAATGATCACAGCCATGCTCATTGTCTTGGAATTTTTTGTCTGAATAAGGCTGCAAAACTTCCATACTTTTCTGTTGTAGAAGAGGTGTCAAATACTTCCTAAGATATGCATTTTTAGAACTAGTGAACAAAAAGAACAGTTTCAGAAAATGTGAAATGCTTTCTACATTTTCCCCTCAGCTGTAAAAATCAGAAATTTATTGAAAAGCAATATTGCTATCATTGGCCCAGATTCCTCACTAACATATACAAAAAATTTAAACCATCTTTTACAGCTTACTAATTTTCTAAGAGTTTTCTCTTGTATTCTTTCCAATAAGGAAAGTTTCCTGCCTGTTTCCTTCCTGACTAAACAAAAAGCAATACAGAACTTTGTTAGAATGTTGTAATTAGTTGATCCCAAATCTTGTAACCTTATTTTCTTTTAACTCTTTCTTAAAAAAAAAAAAAAAAATTTAAATCAGACAAATTTAAGTCTTTGTATCTCTGAAAATCTAGTTACCCAACTGTTTCTACTGACATCTGTGTCAGGTAGATTATGCTGATATTGACTTGCAGACAAATACATGCTCTTAAACATTTTATGAACCCAGAGAATGAATTACATAGTCTGTCTAAAAGATAAAAATTACATCTCCTGTTTGTCTGTTGTATCTTCCAATCTCTTTTAAAAAAAGTATTGTTCAGGCCTAGTTTACAGAGTAAAATTCTACCTATAATATTTATATTATGCTAATGAATATGTTGGAGCTAATGATTTAAGTTCCTTGATAAAATCCCAGAGTTTAAACCAGTTCCCCAGGGGGCACTGTCACCAGTAAAACATCTTGCTAGGCTGAAATATGTGCATGGATGCTACAATCCTAGCAGAAGAAAGACTGCATTAGAGGTAGCCTCACTTGAGATAATTCTTCAAGGAAATGGTTTCAGAGGTCATCATTTTCTCATTCACAGGTGTGAATTTTGCTACAGAAGATCAAAAGGGTGAAAATTTACCTCACCTCCCAACTTCTCAGCCTGTTTTTGGAAAGACTCTATTAATCCTTACAAGCCCACCTTTGTGATACACTGACAGAGTTAAGAAAAGGCTCATGAGTCTAATTATGCTGTAGCCTCATTAATGAGCAGTCTTGGACATCTTTCAGCTGGTGGAAATGACACACAGTGCAAGCAAGATGAGAGAGAGGAAACCACTTTGTAAATACAAACATCCAGTGCAGATGCTGTAGAGGTAATGCCAAAGATCGAGGGAAGTTGACACTGGTGGACAAAGCTGGAGAAGTGGAGGCTGACCTTGGTGCCAGGCTCTGCTTTTTGCCAATTTGTGTGTGCACCAGAGCCTCCTAATCACAACCCAAGTGACAACAAACATCTGACAGTAGAAGACATCCCAAACCTTAAAGAGGAACAGGGGAGGCTGATCCCAAAGGAAGATGAGACATCACTTAAGACAGCTGAGTTACTCACAAAGAAAGGGCTGAGCACATTTTCTTACTAAGACAGGGGAATGGTTTTATTCCACTTTGCTCATGCACACCAAAAGTTACTTTTCCCATGTCTGTCTCTCAGGGTAGCATCAAGGTAAGTACAGAAGGAAAAGACAAAGGAATGAACTTTTGAAATTCTTGTTTTATCTTACATGCAGGACAGAAGAAAATACTGAAAAACAACCAAGCACACATTCTGACAGCAAAAGCAGAGAAAATATTTAATGAATCAGGACACTGCAAAGGAAAGCCCTGATTGTCTAAATAGAAAGAGACTATTTAAATTATTCCTTGGCAAAATAGGGTAACTTCCATTTTCCCATGACAAAAACTAATAAAACTGTAAAAATACACAATGGCTTAGTTTACTAGTACTGTGATCTTTGCATTTAAAATTAACCTCTTCAGGATCAGGAGTAAAAACACTGGATTATGACCAGGTCTTCAGCACAAGGTAGCAAGAGTTGTTCTTCCTGATGTAGCTATTCTCTACCACAACCATTATTACTAGCATTCCATGCAAGTGTTTTGTAAGCCATGCTTGCACACTTTCTAGCTGGTTCAGGCTGTGGCAGCACAGGCTCCCACAGCACTGCCCAAGACATGGTGGCTCTGTCTCTGGGAAAAGGTCATCCATAGCCAAGCATGGGCAGCCACTGCCAACCTTCTGGCTAGGTTTCCCAGCAGTATTTTATTTTTCTGTTTCTGATGAAGAGAGAGCACACAGTGTAAAGGAAGAGGCACTACAACAGGCACTAGAGGACCAGATAGGATAGTTAAGAATAAAAACCCATATGTATTAGCTGCAAAAAAGTATTCCTTTACCCAGGGTATGTTAAATGCTCACAGCATTCCATAAGAATGTATCTGAGCCCCCACCTTGCTTTGTAATAAAGCAATGTGGGAGAGCAGGGAACACCTACTGGCAGAGCAACACAACTTTTGTCAGTGAAACTTCTTTCAAGACACTGTGTTAATAAAAGCATCTCCTTGGGTACCCAATGAAGTGAAATCACAACACCAGCACCTTCTGCCTGGCAAAAATGCAACTATTAAAACTTCCCAGGGTAGACATGGCACTGGTCCAAGCTACTGCCTGAATCTTATAATTACCACCTGAAGAGAAACACTGTCAGTCATTAGCAGTGTGCAGATATATGGCAGTTGGAAAATACTGTGACAGTATTACTGTCAAGCGACAGGTTACTTCACTAGTGAAGACTGATAAAAAACTTTCAACCCTATTTTAGTAACTGCTAGAAAACTTGACCACAAACTTGGCCAGCAGTGTGCCCTATGAGGTCACACCCTGAGTGCTGTGTCCAGTTCTGGCCTCTCAGTTTAGGAAGGACCTTGAGACACTTGAGTGTGTCCAGAGGAGGAAACAAGGCTGGTGAGGGGTTTGGAACACAAGCCCTGTGAGGAGCAGCTGAGGGAGCTGGGGTTGTTTAGTCTGGAGAAAAGGAGACTCAGAGGTGACCTTATCACTCTCTACAACTTCCTGAAAGGTGGCTGTGGTCAGGTGGGGTTGGTCTCTTTCACCAGGCAGCAACCGACAGAACCAGAGGACACAGTCTCAAACTTTGCCAAGGGAAATATAGGTTGGATATTAGGAAAAAGATTTTTACAGAAAGAGTGATAAAGTACTGAAATGGTCTGGGGAAGTGGTGGAGTCACCATCCCTGGATGTGTTTAAAAAGGACTGGATGTGGCACTCAGTGCCATGGTTTAGTTGAGGTGTTGGGTGGGTTGGACTCAATAGTCTTGAAGGTCTCTTCCAGCCTAGTGATTCTGTGACACATTCATGACAGCCAGCATGCACACTGACTCCAGTAAAGCACCACCATGTAGGTCCACACACAAAGATGTAGAATTAATTATTAGATTTAAGTGGGTTTTAAACAAATAGAGAAGAGGTTTACATCAGATGTTAGGAAGAAATTTTTTACTGTGAGGGTGGTAAGACACAGGAAAAAGTTGCCCACAGAAGTTGTGGATGCCCCATCCCTGGAAGTGTTCAAGGCCAGACTGGATGGATCTTTGAGAAACCTGGTCTAGTGGAAAGTGCCCCTGCCCATGGCAGGCGAGTTGGAACCAGATGATCTTTAGGAATTATTTCAATACAAACCATTCTATGATTCTACCATTCTATGATTACTTAACAAAAAGGGTTCCTACAAGAAGGCTTTTCTCTTTATCAATTCAAGATAAACTAACACCTTTAATGCAGTTTTAAACATATTTTGAAAAAATCCCAAAAAACCTGAAACTAATAAAACACAAAGAATCATGAATGCTGTTCCTCTGTATCCCTTAAAAAGGCCAAGTGCCAACATTATTTACAAGATAGATATAGCTCAGTCCCAACTTAATCCTGACTGTGAACCTCAGATTCAGTGACAGGCACAAGGTTTCAGTCAAAGAGAGGAAGGAGTCATGTTTTCTCTTCTGGAGTCTTGCCACATATCCATTTATCAGTAAATAAGAATTTACCATGAGAATATTTCTGCAAACAATTCTTTATGGGAAGCTAAATTCACATGTATCCTCACAATGCATAAGAACAAGTTAGGTGGTTGCAAGAGAAAAAGATGATTCTGAATAAAGTTTCTCTAAGAGAAAGAAAGCAAAAAAGTAGCATTTAAAGTGTCACAGAATCTAAGGCCAAAAATTTATTATTTTTTGATGGAGTCAAAACCCTATAATTTCATAGAACATATTTAAATGCAGAAATTTGAAAAGTATCAAAAATGCTCTAATTGAAGAGCATCTTGGACTTACTACCATCAAATCAACACTCTTAAAAACAATTTCTGCCACCAAAATACCTCCCCTCTAATTATTGACAGTATGAATTTGGAGTAGGGCTGAGAGTTCTTACCATGTAGAGTAAGACAGCGTGAAGATTTAATTTTGTAGCTCAGTTAGTTACATACATACATTTGCAATGTTGCTCTTTTTAAATTACAAAATATAGCCTCCTATTTCTGTGAGGAATATTTATGAGGTCCTTGACAACAACTGATTTACTACTACACAGAACGAAAAACATGAACTATTTCTTGCACTTGGAAGCATCACTTGCATATATTCCCCTCTTTCACTTCCCCTAGGAAGTCCACGCTTCCCTACAGGATTTTGTAGCCAGGAATATGTGGATATGTGCTCTACTGAGCTTTAAGTAGTAAGCCCAGCAAATGAAAAACCTATAATCTGATTTACCTTTATCCTCAGCTCATCTGTAAATCTGAAATCTTCAGAGAACATGAAACTCAAGAAGCCATCATGCATTAAGAGGTACAGCAGAAGTAAAAATTGCATTTTCAACATAATAAGCCTGTCTCCAAAGCTGGTCTGTCACATGGACCATCTGCACTGAAGGCCTTTTCCTATTTTCAGGTATTTTGGAGGCAGATTATAGATACTGGAAAATATTAAAGTACTGAAGAAAAAGAGCAGGGTCTGGACTAGTATTTTAAGCCATTCCTGAAATGGCATCTCTAGATCACATCCGTGCCTTTCATTTTCTTCTCTTTTAGTGGATTGTAGTTTCTGAAGTTCAGTCTCATCATGATGAATGATGAATTAATGGTGCAAGTGGCTGTGTTGCCTACAGTGTTTGTAGCAGTCCCTTGGTAAATGTTCCTAAAAATGGGAACCCAAACATTACATCAATTTTTGGAGCACCATTAATTTGCCTCAAAAGAGAACTCATAAGTAAAACTGGTAAATAAAAGGACAAGTCTGAGGAGAAGCAAACTATCCTCCTTCAACTAAGATAATATTATTAACAATTTTTGCCCCCTGTAATGTGTGTATGGTTCTACCTGGGACTACATCACATTAAGCAGGAATTCTAGATATATATGCAATACATTAATTCAGCTTAAAAGGTGAAAACAGAGATCCTCTTCATTATTGGTAGTCCTACATTACTGCTCCTTTTGCATCCATTTCCTATGCATCAAATACAATTCTGTTTTTCACAGCAAGGGCCATTCATGTGCCAGTTCTTCCTTCTTGTTTTTTTTCTTACAGGAATGAGCTGTAACTACTTTCCAAGGCTGTCATCCTTAACAAGCTACTTTCTAAAGAAAAAAACAGACCAATTTTTAACAAAAAAAAAAAATAGACTGCTTTTTTCTCAGACATCTCTTCAGGACTCACTAGGACATTTGCTCTAATAAAATTCTTTCATTAATTAATCATTTCATTAATCTATTCTTGTATGTGTCCTTATGCTCTACCTACCTGTTGTACCTACTTACTTTCCTATCACTACCTTAGATACAGACTCCTGGGGGATTGGATTTTTTCTTATGATGTGCACAGAGCACCCAGCCTAGTACTATTTCAGTGGGGAAAAAAGCCCAAAGAAAAGTGTTAATCAAGCAAAGCACAGCAAGTCATATGCATAGAAGTAGTTAGGTCAAAGTTTCACACTACACTGGAAGACATTACTTTAAAAATACTTAGAATTCAAAGAAGTTCTGCAATTTTACTGATACGATTTTTAAATTCCAATTTGCAGAGAAAATCATGCACTTGACTAGCTTTAGAAAGATCCTTTGCTTGCTCTGAAGTAGAGCTTAGTGTTATATTCAGTAACTACTTATAAATGAATTACACATTCTGGCTTATGCTTAAATATGAAATGGTCAAGTTTTATCCAAACAGCACAGTAAAAAGATGGGGGTTGTTTCTGCTGCATTATTTATGATTCTTCCAGTTTTAGTGACTCTAGATTTCTCTACTTAAAGTAAGTTCATACTGTTTCACAGTAGAAAAAACATCATCCCCATGTTGCTATTATGAGTGCATTGCTTGCATCTTTATTTTGTGAACTGAGTAAACCCAAAATCCTAGGTATTGTTAAAAATTAAAACCTAGATACTATCACAATGCTTAGCCCTTAGTCTATCTGCTTGCTTTAGACCCATAAATGTAATTTTATGTTAGTTTTAAGCAAAGAATCTGTCATGCTACTTCACTGTATTAGTAAGATTATAGTCAGTTTGGATTTCTTCTATGAAGTCATAAAGACTACTAGATAAGAAAAAACACTTTTGGAGGCTTAACTCTATGTAATAGATGTGTAATAAAAAAAAGATTATTATTGTATTTAATTTAAATGTGTCTGTGTTTATAGATTCTGTATTTTAACAGTACTGAGAAACTATGCAGTTGTTTCTACAGGTGTTCTGCTATGTAAGTGAAAACGGACTTGCATCTAAACATATATTTTGACAGTTCTTACATATTTCTAATAGCTTGCTTTCAAACATTTATTCTGTAGACTTCTTCTACAAGAAAAAACCTACCTTTGCTTTAAATGTGCATCAATAATAAGTGAAGTCACCTTCAAGTAAGAAAAGTTTGACTGGACACCACTGCAAGAATGAACATTTATTCCTCACTCTGCTTTAAAAGTAGCACAGAGACATTTCAGATAATATGCTGTTTCAAACAGTACCCAGTAAAAATAATGTATTTAATTTTTCAGAAGTTCCAAAGCTGTTAATTATATTTACCAAAAAAAAAATTGTTTTCAGTGAATTTTGAAGGGTAGCTTCTCTGAGGGAAGACACTTATGCTTCTGTGAATTTTACTTTTCTCTCTACGGGACATGGATAATTTTCATCTTGCCATTTCAATAAAATAATTCCCTGCCTGTTGGAGTTATCTCATTTGTACACATAGTATATTATCTTGCAGCAGCCCTGATGAGTAGTTAATGAAACAATTTATTTCAACTTGATTAGGCAGTTGTCAAAATGGAATGACACAGATTGATCTGTACCTGACATATACCTGACATATGCCTGACTCAGTTAACTGATGTGAAACAACACAAGTGAATGGAACTGTGAGAAATTTGCCAAGTTATAGATAGCTGGAAATACATGTAAGAGAAAGCAGATTATTACTGATAAGAGTACATTGGTTAATTCCCATAAAAATTAACTTACCATAAAAATTGCCATACAATAGGAAGCAGTGCCAGGAAATAATAAATAAATTATTATATCAAAGCAGGTTCACAGTTAGTAGTGCTGCAAACATCAAGAACTGAAAGACAATGCATGAATGAAAGTAATGTCTCAGTCTCAGAAGCTGTGAGACATCATGATGGCAGACAATTGCCAGCTGAAGGCTGGCTGGAGCCAACAGCTTTACCCAGTTTGTCATGGGCAGCAGCTTCTTCAAGCCACTGTCAGCCTGTATTTGGAGTGACCCAGCCGAGAGAGCTGGACATTTAATATGATCTGGAAGCTAGGGAGGTGTGCTCAACAGATTGCTGTGGCAATCTCCTGTGAGAATATCCTCAATTTCCAAGATCCGACACACTGTCCTATCCCAGCTTCCTTTCTGTCTAGGAACTTGAAAATAAAAGGAAAAGCTGAATCTTTATTGTTTCTCAGTTTTGCATGTTACATTTGGTGAAACCGTTATTTTTTTTATTTTTTTTTTAAATCTCAACATCCCTCGCTATCCAAATCTCTCTCAATGTACAATAAACAATAATAACCAGCTACATGTTCCCAGAGCTTCTCTGGACAAAATGATATTTTTAAAATCTGAAGTTTCTCTTTTCTTTCATATAACAAATGTAACACTTAGTCTGTACTCAGACTAAGGCATTTAAAAGTTAACAGCATACAAGCAATACCAACTACTTAATAAACTATAATACAATCAATCACAGCTTTAAATGTCCTGATTTTTGTCATATAAACCTACATCATCACGAACTATTGAGTGACTCACATCAGCCTTGGCAAAAAACATGAAATAGACTTGATGGCTTTACAAGCATCTCAGTAAAATAAAACCACTTATTGAAGTGGCCACTTCATATAATGTCATTTTCATCACTACAGATAACATCAATGAACCAATTCATTCACTTCCTACATCTGGTTCTCACTTAAAAGTTGAAGTGAGAAAAGACATAATGCATTCTGCCTGAAAGTTAAAAACAGATGCCCTCACAACTACTAAAATACTGCATTAAAAACTACCCATTGTTCTCTTGAGATTTAAGGTTTATTATCACTCATAACTTACCAATTGTTTCAAATTTATTTGAAATGTTAACAAAAATTGTACATGTAGGCAGTTATGACAAAGGTATGTTAGTAGGAAAATCTCAGATATTTAACTGAAACAACACTATAGGACCATTATATTCATAGTGTAAATGTGTTGACTGTATATTTATAGTCAAAATATTTGAACTCATAATGCAGCATTTCAGTTCCTTAATGTAGACTAATATGTGACTCATGAATAAGGCAGAGGAAAAATACTGTGATTTTAAATGAAGCTTAATATATTCAAGATGTCTACAAGGAATGGTAGAAGTAAATTGGTAGCAGAATTAAATACCTATTAGAGCAAAAATATCCATCTATGTTGCATTAGGTCTTCTCATGGGTATAGTATGATTCATTCCCTCCGAAAAACATATAAAAACATGTTCAAAATCTATCTTTTTTATATTACTTTTCGTATTTTATCCTTCTTATGAGATAGATATGGATTTCAGAGTCCATTCTAATCTAGAAAATGATCCCTAATATTAAGTGGGGAATAATACAGCAGCTTTTTATCTGTTTTAGTCTATACCTGGGTAAATATCACAAGCAGGCCCTGGGGAGTGTCCCATGGTATTATCTACAGCATCATGTGGTGACAAGGCTGGCTGGAGGGGCTGGATTGCAAGGCAGTCATTCAGGATGTCCTGGCCAATCTCTGAGCTTGATCGCAACTGAAAAACGAGAGATAAAAAAGGAGAAATTAAAACGAAATATGGACATGGACAAAAGAAAGGAAATAACTACAAAAATCTGAATGTTGAGGTTAGAGAAAAATGGAGCACAACCAGAAATCTTCTATTTTAAATTCTCGTTAATACCATCCTTTCATTATAGCAGGCACTTTTTGAATCCGAGGAAGAAAACATTTCCAGACGCTTAACAAGACTACTTGTACAGGTAGGATCTTGGACAGAAAGACTCCAGTGTGCTCTTTCGTCACACACTGCCAAAGAGAGGAGTGGCCTAGTTAATAGGTATTGGAGATTTATCAGATGTCTGACATTGCAGAGGGTCACTATAATGAGTACAAATGCTTTCATGCTGGTTTAGTGCCCTGAGCTGCCTCACCACAGGACCAGAAGAGCAAAGGTGCTCGTAACACTGGAAATGAGGGACTGGGAACAAGCAGCCAGGAGAGGTAATATACAGGCAAGTCAGGATGGAAATGGGATCACTCTGTATTCTTAAACAGAATAGGACTACATTTGTTATATATTATAGCAGAATTGTGAGTGTTCTGTCACTGCCAGTCATCCTAGCTGCATGCATGGCCACTTGCCTGGTACCCGATCCATCACCAGCAAGTCTGTTAATCTGGCTGATCACCAGAAAATCCACTCTACAAACAACTAATAAACAAATTCATAACAAGAGTTTTCCTCTGGATGAAACTGGATGGAGAGTCTCAATGTGAGGCTGCAATAAAATATAGTAAAAACTACAATTAAAAAAAATTCCCAACACCAAATTAAGGAAAAGGGAAAAAGTCTGCTGCAGCACCCTAACAAGGATGGCATAGCTGTAATGCCAAACCTCGAGGTTTAGGGCAGGTTATGGATGCTGCTGCAGGCTGCTGGGACTGATGCCCGTTCTGGTCTGCTGCCTGATGTTAATGTTATATATAAAAAAAATTGCCTGTTCCTCAGAGTCATTTTAGCTGGTGTATTCATTTAAAAGCCTGGAAAATGAAGGTCTGTGCTTACTAGCATGCGGGCTACTGCAGGCTGAGATGCACTGTCATGTCATCCAGGTTCATGCAGCATGATGTAAAGAACCTTGAGCTAGTGCACTTGGATGTGCTGCACTTTCCCAAGCAGAAAATCTCACAAAGACCACTGAAGCTTCTTCTCTCGTTTGGTGCCATGGGAGTTGAGCAGGTAACAGTTAACTAGAACATAGCCTAGCACCTCTAAAAATCTCTTAAGGGGAGGAAGAGGAACAAGAAGACAAATCTCTGGACACACTATACTCAGAAATTAATTACAGAATGGTTTTAATTTGAAGGAACCAAGTTCCAACCCCTTGCCATAGGAAGAGAAACTGGATTCTGCTAGATCAGGCTGTTCAGAGCCCCACCCAACCGTGCCTTGAACACCCCAGGGACAGGGCAGATGAAGAAAGAAGAGTTAGATGAAATGATTCTGAATGCAACCATAAAAACACTTTTGTGCCACAAGAGGACCTTTGTGCCACAAAATGCTGATAGACACTCCAATTACTTTTGGTAATATGCACTGCAGTAAAACCACAGCAACTGAGTGGAGAGCTGGTCTTACACATCATAAGCACCTGACCCTGTAGCTGGAGATACTACACAGCCTGTGCTACCTATGCACACACCCTGCATGCTGGAGATTCCTTCTCTTAAAAACTTAGCCAGTCAATATTAAGCCCGAAGTTACACTACCTCGGTGAGATGCATTTGTTATTCTAAAATTGTAGGAAGGGGGAGAATGGACGGGAAAGAGAAGGGAATAAATACCCCAACCAATGATTTTGTTTATTATCCATATTTACAATCTGTTATAAGTACAAACAAAGCTTCTTCCACTTTGGCACACGTCATCATCTGCTATTATCCAGTAATTGTGCTAGGTTTGCTGCTATCACTAGTAACATGGCTTTTTCAAGAAACTCAGTGCTTGTGAAATATGTCCTCATTCATATCCTTACAGTTACATTATTAATAAGTCTTATGTGAATTTAAATTTCTATGGAAACTAAAGTGCATATAATAAGAAAAATCTGATTTCTATAAAAGAATCAGTGTTCTATCATACAGAATACACAATCATAGAAGCTGCCTCTGTGAAGTCGTCTCAATATCCTTTTTAAGAAACAGATCAATTTTCTATATCAGATGGTACTCACGGATAAAACAGTGAGAAAAGCAAGAAAAGGACAGCTAAGTATTTACACATTAGTTACAAATATTTAGTAATTCTCGTAAAATAGAATAGGCAGCCACCTACTTCACAAATTTTCAAACTTCACTAATTTCCATTGTTCAGGAATCTTGCATTCACAAATGCTTTGATATTTAGAAAAATCTACCCTGACAATCTGTGCTGCCATAAATTTTCTTGCTTTTCAAAACTTATAAAAAATGAAGAAAACCTAGGATCATCAACAGAAAAACAAAAATGGAGAAACACTGTGAGACAGCTGTGATCTGATTTCCGAGGACAGTTCTTATTTCATGCATTGGCTATTGTTGATTAGCATTTAAAATCACAAGGGCTAGAAATACAATCACAAGGCCTACAAACTTACACACGCATACATAGGTGCAAATATATGTATCACAACATGTAATATATTAATAAAATGTGTAATTTTAGAATGACAAGTTGGGTATTTAATGTACATATGATGAAATATCCTGAGCAAGAGGTGAGAACTCCACTGACTTGTGCAACAGCAGATGCACACTACTAATTCAAATTTCCACTAAAAATACTACCACAGGCCTTCTATATAAACTCTCCCCAGATAACAGATGCTGGGAGTAACTTTCCTGAACCCTGCTGCAAGGAATGCTTGTAATTTGCTCTTTAAGAGTAATTACTGTGGTACCACTGGAGAGAGGAGAGCAAGGGCTAGAGGAGCCTTCCCTACTCTACTCCTTGAGGAGCAGGACCAAAAATGGGAAAGTTTCCTTCAGCAGAGCCAGCCATTAAATGACAGCTGCTTCCCAAACTAGTCACAACTAGAAAACTCCATTTCCCACCATTACTGTTTTCTTTTGACAGAGGCAGTAACAATGCTTTCTGTAGTTACTGGTCCTCCTAATGTTTTCCCAGATCTCTTCTCCTTAAGAAGGCATAAACTGTGTCATTTTTGGAACAAAATAGAGGGCAAAACACAGATTCTAGTTCAAACACAACTGGTCAAGGCATTTCTTTTTCCTGTAAAGACATTGAGGGTAAAAACCCACTCTATCTCAGTCAAATATTTTTACATATGTCACAGAAAACTTGTAATTAAAATTTTTAACTGAAAGCAATGTCTTATATTTTGACAAACGCAGGGAAATCAGGGCTATGATTCTTCTTTAGTATGTCAAGAATCACAGAACAGACAATGAAAAGACAAATGATCTTAAAACAAAGCAAAATCCACAAACTATTCACTGCAACTGTAGAATTTTATCTTCAGTTAAAAAAGCTATAAAGGAGAAATATTTGACCAGCTATAACTGCTGCCATCCATTTCTTGCTCTGTTCTAACAACACTGCATCTCTTTTCCAGCCTGGACTGTAGACTTACCGTTCAAGTGCAAAAGGAAGCTGACACTCTCTTTGAGTTGTATATTAATTGCATCTCACCACAGATCTCGCAGCACTGTGACTGAAATACGTCACTGCCCCATGATCATCTTGCTTCTCTCATGATCACTCAGCTGAGCACCAGTACAATCAGGCTGGGACTGAAAACTTGGCAATCTTTACAATTTTTAAGAACTGTATGGTTATAAAGTTATCTGAGTGTTAAAATCAAAAACTGGTAAGTCTGCCATGCTGAGCACAGCCATTTTCTGTGGGCTGTAATGTAACCTAAACTTATTGCTGACCAAAGTGCAAGCTAACAATCAACTGCTCTGCTCACTTAAAACTCCCCTGTATTTGATATTTCTTCCAAATAGTAGTGTTTGAATTTAATAGCTTAATTTTATGGTAAGCCTTGTGAAGTTTTGTATTTGGAAATACAGAAGCACTTCCATTATCACAATGTATCAGTTTTTTATAATATACAAAACGAGTAATTTTCAGTCATGGTTCACAACTGTTTTACTTCTGTGACAGTCAGCTAATATTTATCACCTTTCAGAACAATGGAAGGAAATTCTACTTCTGTACACTTTGCATATGAATAAGTAATTTCCCCAATTAAATGATACAAGCAGAAATAATTACAAGGGAGTAAGATTCTTATTTCTCAGTTTTCAATTTCATTATATTTGAGTTCAAAAGCAGAGGTGTGCTGTTGATTTGATGCATGACATAATCCCAGAGAAAATGTCACCTTACAAGAAAAGATAATCTTTTTTCATTTTTCTCTCACCAATGTGTGCTCTATATGAGATCTGAACATTTTTGTACCACCTGGCTAGTTTCTTCAGCACTGCTTTCTGTACAGAAATCAGACACCATCAAGGAAAACATACGATAGGTGTGTTTATGAATACACTTTGTAAGAAAAGAAGCGTTTGGCTTGAGAAATCCTAAACCACACTAAATAGTTTAGTAACTTCAAAATCTGCCTGCATGTATTCAGATTAATTAAACTAATTCTTCAGCAAAATCTAGACTCCTTCAGTCATTCAAACATGCCAGTTATCTCATCAAATCATAACATTTTAAATCTCACTTACAAAAACGTGTATTTAATATACATGCATATCGTGCACCTAGTAAAGTATTTACATATGTAAGTGAGACATTACTTATAGTCTGTTTAGTTTTATGCAGGTTAGATATGTGTCTGCCATGTCTAAAACAAGCAAAAAACCCCCTAAATACTGGTATATTTCATTGACAGGAATATTTTTACACTAACTGTAATAGTTCTAGACATGTGTTTTTGTTTTGCTTACAAAGATAAGGAGGAATTTCTGCTATTCACATAGGCCCTGTATTAAGTTTACTAATGTCAAGTACAGAGTAAGTCA